AAAAAAAAAAAAAAAAGTCTCACTAACCATTTTCTGCCTGCCTAGCTAGCTTTTTTACTTTTCTTTACGGTAAAGTGTTCATCACTGTTAATTTACTTTGAGCATATGAAAAAATGAGTGCAAAGTCTCTGTCATGAGATTAATTACTGAATAATCAAAAATTAACCAAAAAAAAAAGCATTAAATTTAAAATTATAAAAGCCTTATTAATCCTTGTTCAGTCTAAACTAAACCACATGCTCTTTTTTTTTTTAACTTTTTTCATGTCTTCTTCAGTGCGAGACTTGGCACGTGACAAGAAAGTTGCACGTGCGCTGCATAAATATGCACATACACACATACAAAGACAATGATATGAGAACGAATAAAAAATCAGGAAAATTAATAATTAATTTGTATATAAAAAATAAACTAGTACTAATACTCATGTACAACATGGGTGTTGAGTTAATGAATATATATGTGTAAAGTTATTTATGTCGAATATCAAACCTAACTCTAAAACAAAATTAATATAAAAACAATATTACGAAACATAGATTTTCATCATGTCAGCATCCGAAGCGTGAAAATATGCGAGCTAGGCTCAACACGTTTTGAATTAATATATAGGGAGGGAAGTGAAAAGAGTATACGGATGAGTAGTCCAGTAAAGATGCTTTAAGAAGATGTGAATGTTTGCATGTTGCTTAACAGCCCAGTTTTTCGAAAGTTGCGAAAGATATAGTATAAGCAAAAAAAGGGCCTATTTTTGTATCCATAAAAAAATTTCCTTTGGTTTAGTCTTTTTTTAGTGCACTTTATTGACATTATATTTTGGTGTAACACTTTATTGACAATTGAGACGCCCATATTATTATTATATACATGAATTTGCAACTTTTATTTGAAAAATATACACGTAGACCTTAAAGTTTTTCGAACATGACCTTAATTTGCTTTAATGGAAGGTTCAAATTTTCTTTTTCTTTTTTTTCCCATTAATTATCATATATTACTAATTAATGCATGTGTATATACTTTATCATATACTAGTAGATATCTTGTGCACATGCACATATGTACATAAAATATTATAAATAATATTTGAGAATTTAATATTAAAATTCTAGATATTGAACATATTACATTTTCAAAAATGTGATCATTAGGAAAAATAAATTAACGATTTTATTATTATGACAATTGTTTATTATCATTAGATAATAGCAGTTTGATTATTATTATTATTATTATTATTATTATTATTATTATTATTATTATTATTATTATTAAAATCAATTGTTTATAAGCTTCTAAAGTTGTTTGACTATGCTATTAAAATAATTTACTAATTATTTTTAAAGAAATTTTTTCATGAGATACAAAAGAAAAAGATAATATTGATGTTAATATAAATAACTTGAAACAATTGTTTATAATTATGTAATTTATATTTATTGTGAATTATTATTAGTTGTTATTAGCAATAACTATTATATAATATAATAGTAAAATACATGGTTACACTTAATAGGATGTGCTAATGTGAGAAGTAAAAAAATTTTAATGATAAATTTTGTAACTGAAAATAGAGGAAAAATTTTAGAGGTTTTATTAAATAGGTAAAATTAAATGCTAAGCTAGCAATTGTGTGTGTGTGTATATATATATATATATATATTATTAAAAAATAATTGTTTATAAGATTCTAAATTGTTTAACTATGTTATTAAAACAATTTACTAATTGTTTTTAAAGAAATATTTTTATGAGATACAAAAGAAAAAAAAATAATATTGATGTTAAAATACATAACTTGAAACAATTGTTTATAATATGTAATTTATATTTATTGTGAATTATTATTAGTTGGTATTAGCAATAACTATTATATAATATAATAGAAACATACATAATTACACTCATTAAGATGTATTAATGTGAGAAGTAGAAAATATTAATGACAAATTTTGTAACCGAAAATAGAGGAAAAATTTTAGAGGTTTTATTACATGTTTTATTAAATGCTACATGCCAGCAATTATATATATATATATAGATTACTAATTAATGAATGTGCATATACTTTATGATGAAACATGGTTCAATATGTATATAATTTGATATAAAAATGACATAATTTAAAATAAAATATAAATAAATATGTGATTCAATTATGCATTTAGATTGTATTTATTTTGTGAAAGATTGTTCATCATGAAGAACCATATTGAATCATCATGATGGTAAACAAAAAAACATAAATTATGAAATAGGATTCATTAATTGTGCATCAATGTATAAAAAACCATAATTGGAAAATTATTGTATCCTCATTTAAAGGAGAACACTTTAATTGCTATAGTTTCCAATTGGATGCGAATAATCAAGTACAGATCTAGTTTGTGGGAAATGCTATGATTTCGTTATGAAACCACTTCGTCGAAATTTGTAACCGTTAGACCAACTATCCCCGATGGTTACATGATAATAATCTAACGGTTACAAACTCCGACATAGTGATTCCGTAACGGGACCGTAACATGTCCCGAATTTGTTGAACCATGCATAAATATCAAGTTTT